AAGATGACCAATAATACATCACTATAAGTCATTAATATTAAAAAATTATCTATTTCCCCTTAATTTAAGAAAAATTATAAATATTTGCATAGCATTGCTTAAACTCAAAAGGAAAAGGTACACCAGGTATTTCATATTTTTGAAAACTAGGTAAATAACTTCTAAATCATAAAAATTAATGAAAATAAATAATTTGTTCAAGTCTGACACTTAAGGGACTTTAAATTCTGATAAATCCTGTTTTAGGAGATAACATTCAATCAAAGGTAATTTGCATCAATTTTTGATGTACCATTCTAAGTATTCAGATAATGTTGGGAATGTCTGATACTTTATTTATTTATTTTGAGACAGGGTCTGGTTCTGTCATCCAGGCTGGGGTGCAGTGGCATGATCTCGGCTCACTGCAACCTCCACCTCCCAGGCTCAAGCAATCCTCCTGCCTCAGCCTCCCAAGTAGCTGGGATGACAGCCATGTACCACCACACCCAGGTAATTTTTGTATTTTTGGTAGAGATGGGGTTTTGCCATTTTGCTGAGGCTGGTCTCAAACTCCTTGACCTCCCGAAGTGCTGGGATTTCAGGCATGAGTCACTGTGCCCAGCCTGGAAAAATCTGGTACTTTAATGGTAGAATCAAGTCTCAGTGTATAGAGAAGTATGTTATGATCTCAGTGAGAATGATTGTTATTAACTAAGTAAACAGGTAATCTACTCTGGCTCAAAGGAAGTATCTATTTCGTATGTTCTAGGAAATATGTGTTCCAAAAATATCATTCTCTGTCTCATGCTGAATCTTTTAGGAGTAAAGATAGAAAGAAACAGGAACACATCTTCACCTGTGTTTCGCTTCTATGCCCTCACATTTCCAGTTTACTATAGCTACTTGAGCTTTTCACTCCAAAGTGAGCAGCAACAATTAGGCCAATAGATTATGACTAATTTGGAGAAATCCTATATAAATTAAGTTAGCAATATATGCCTTGTGTATAAATTTTAGTTAACTATTTCACTATTTCAATAATTACTGTCTATTATGAACCAGGGAATTTTCCAGGTGGTAGGAATGCAGCAGAGAACAAAACAGACAAAAGTCCCTGCCCTTGTGGAACTCACACTGGAGATTTATTTGCTTTCCTTAAGTTATAACTTACTTGATATGATATTGGTAGCTGTGGGCTAGTAAAAAAATAAATAAATACATAACTTACTTGGACTGAACCTCCATTAGAACAGTGCTGAATTCTGCTATGCATAACTGTTCAATGTACTCTAATCCTTTTGTTTCATTGAAGTATTTCCTTTGGATAGTAGTGAAATTAACATTCTGAAAAGAAGTTTCAACTTCAAAATAAAGTTTGAAGTACCATGCGCTTGCCCAAAACTGCTTTCTTAAACACATGCTCGTAACTAGGTAAGTGACTTAAATATTGTATAAAAATTTCAACATTTACATAAGAACTTTTCTTATTTATATAAAAATGATTATCCTCGCTAAGTGAATTATAGTACAGTTTGTATCTCTTATTAGACCTTACTCTTATGAGATTTAATGGAATATGTTAGATACAATAATAAAAATAAATGTGACAGTCTATACCTTTTAGTAATTTTTTGTATAGAAAATAACTTTTCACAGTTTTATATTCATCTTTCCATAGTCTATCATAATTGACAAAGGGTAGATTCTTATAATGTCCTAGGTGAAAAGATGAAAACACCAATTCTACCTATTTATGATATACTATTTACATAAAGTGAATTGAATTTATTTAGAACAAAGAGAAAATTATAATCTTTTTGAGACAGGGTCTCACTCTGTCGCCTAGGCTGGAGTACAGCAGCATGATCATAGCTAACTACAAATTTGAACTCCAGGATACAAGCAATCTGCTTGCTTCATCCTCCTGAGTAGCTGGGACTACAGGCACACACCA